ATCTCCGCGGATCGAAATGAAGCTTTATGCTCGAACAACGTTGCAACCGAGATGGAAAATGATTTTGCGCGAAAAGTCATCTGGGAATCGGAAAACCCAAATGTGTTCGTTTAGAAGCCAACACATCCTCAGAGAGTGACAGTTTGATGCGGATTTTGGAGCCGTGACATCATTGGCCCGTTTTTTTATACCTGAGCGCACTTTTGCACAAGGGTATTATAACATTGTTGACATAACGGTTGTTTGTAACACGCAAAATAAATCCAGATAGATATAGACAAATATATACATATATGCTCAGAATTAATAGAGAAGTCGATTAAGCCATGTCTGGCTGTCCGTCCGTCCGTGTACCCGATAACTCGAGCAAAAATTGAGATATTTCAACGAAATTTGGTATGTAAGTTGCCACTAAACCAAGGTAGGTTGGTATTGAAAATAGGCAAAATCTGACTGTAACCAAGCCCACTTCCCATATAACGGTATTTTCGGGAAATGCAAGAACTGCGATATTTCAGTTAATATTAGATGCAAATTGTTGAAAATTAGTATGCGAAGTAGAATTGTGGTAAAAAAATAAAACTTTTATAATATTTTTTGAAAAATGGGCGTGACCCCGCCCACTTATGATGAAATGCTGTATCTCAGTAGCCGGTTCACCAATCTTTACCAAACTCGGTACGGGCCTTGCCTTGGGTCTAGCTAAGAAATCTGTTGAAAATCGTTGAAATCGGGCAATAACCACCGGGTATCTAAAGTTCGGTTTCGCCCGAACTTATACTTCTTTGCTTGTTTGTTTTTTTGTTTTTTTTTTAATGCTGCTGAAAACGTCATTTCGGGCAACGGTGAACGCTACCGATGCATGATTAACCATTTTTTGTGGCCGGAAATTTAAGACATGAACTTGGTAAATATCGAGCAAGCAATACGTGAGATAGAGCCACAAACCATCACCAGGGTCTTGGAGAATTGGGTTACTAGGATGCGCTACTTCGAAGCCAGCTCAGGCAGCCACATGAATGAAAACGTACTCCATAAATAATGGGAAGATTTGCGCTTTCGAATAAACTATTTTTAGTTTAGTTAATTTTTTTAATATTTAAAAAGTAACCACTAGTTATATGAACCACGCTTTATATACGATTGTCGGCAAATATGCAGCATGTGACACCCATTCGCTAACTAATTTCGCATAGCACATCCATGCATTACCAACATTTGCGCTAGATTTAAGAATGAGACACAAGCAAACTTGGAGCAAGTAAAAAAATTTTATCAGGTTTGGAAGATATGCAATATTTAAAAAAAATTTCATCTACAAACGCTTTTGACAAAAAACAGTTGAGTTATGAAGAATCCACAGACTATTAAATCTATGCAGGTACATATGCACATTAGGATGGTCCAAACTTATTCACGTCAAAATTGTAATGCCCTCACCACCAAAGATTGTTCCATATCGGAAAATATAAAACCTTTGTCTTTTTTTAATCATAAAATATTTAGAAGTCGAATAAATTTCCCCACGTACTTTATGAAGCATAAACAAAACTAAATCGCCGAACGAATTACGTCGGGCGGAGCGATTTCGCCGAAATATTTGGCCCAGTAAATCAGAATCGAAACGTAATTTCGTCAGATGAACTTCGTTGCCGCTGTGGTGGTGCGCCAATCACGTATATTGAGTGTGCTTTAATTTTGGCAACGAACTTTCTTCCGACGAAGCTCGCTCAACGATTTGATTCTGTTTTTACTTATAAGATTGTAGGTTAGAAAAGGCAAAAAAAAACGACATTATTTTTTTAATTTTGTTATGTACATATGTGTGTACCTTTATGTACAATGTGCATGCATGTCCGATTAAATATATAAAAAATACATACAGTGGTCGAAAAATTATAGCCGAACCACTTTTTGCCAAGTTTTGACGTATTATTTTCGTTGTTATTTAATTTTGGTTATCTTTTTTATAAAAATATAGTTCATTCTTTAACAAAACCCGTGTAAATCCAAGTCTCCAACTTTGTGCAATATTAAAAAATACAAAAAACTTTCGTAAATATTCTAAAAAATCAACCGAATTTTCAGACATTTGAAACTTGTACTTTATTCTACTAGAAACTTCATACTCGAAATATTTACAAAATTTTTTGATTTTTTTAATGCATAAAGTTTTAAGGCAGTCTCTATCGATTGGTACATTTTTTTGTACTCAAAAGATTGGTATAATACAGCAATCTTCTACTGAACAGTTTCCACAAATTATTTTTCGTGATTCGGATAAAGAAAAATATTTGAATATTCGCACACTTGGGACAGTATTTGCACCAAATTTCGGCAAATACCCAATCGTGTGACACTGCCTTTAAACTTTTATTTATACGGATGTTGTTAAAGAATGAACTTTAAACTATAAGCTAACTAAAATTAAATAACAGCAAAAATAATATTTTTAAACTTGTCAAAAATTTGGTGCGGCTATAATTTTTTTGACTACTGTACATAAGTTGACTATGATTATTCATAATAGCACAATGCCTCTAATATTTGACTTACAAACAAAATGTGGGCAGGAATTTCAAAACTTCAACCCTGTTTCTGTGAAATATTTTATTTTTGTCAGTATTTTCTTTGTTGTTTCTATTTTGAAATAAAAAAATATTACATTAGAGCGATACTGTATAAAAGCGATATGAGTGTCGCTATCGCAGCCATCGCAGTCGCGGTATCACAATCGTACAAGTGTGCACAGTTTTTATCACTTCCCATCAATTCCCACACACTCAGCATGTCGATGTTGCTTTCATATCGTATCGCTTATTGGGTTACGTATCTTGCCTTATCTATGACAACAAATGGAGCAAGTGTAACAATCACGAGGAAACCGTGCGAGTGTACAGCTGCAGAGCCTACAGTCAGCCTTCGACAAAGGGCCAAGGTGTCTATTAAAATTCGCTAAAGGAACGGCATTGCGTAAAAGCATTGATTCGTAGATCGTAAACGTATCTGGAAACGCTGTGGGCATGATATTTTCATCTATGTGAAAGCCAACTTAACCTAACCTAACTGAACTTATTTCAGAGTTTGGAATGAATCAAAAGCTAATTAACTAATGGAAGCTTTAAGTATTTGCCTCTTTCTTTAAAACATCACTTTTGAGTTTATTTCAATTCGAAATTTATATTCTGTGTATTATATGCAAAGTACTGTGGTTAAATATTTTAGGAAATTTTTTTTTTAAATAGTTATTTTTTAGAATGTCGCTGAATAAAATTTGTAAAATAATTGTGCAACAATGCGAGAGCACACATTTACCAATCTGTGTTCGCAAAAGAATAGCCACTAAGGACACAACCGCTTCGGATAGTAACACCACATTGAAACTGTATATAAATAAAATTCACGGTCAATGTGCATTCCAATATTCATATTCAATTTAACCTGAAAGTTCATGTTCATGGACAAAAACTGTGCTTTATGAGTGTACTACATACATATGTATGTATGTATGCATCAGTCGAAGAAACTGTTTATACAGGAGCAAAAACAACAACCGGCAAGAGAGGCTAATTGAGCAAACAAATTTTCACATTTTACTTTTGAGAGAGCAGCAAGACCATAGTACTCTCAGATAAAAATCATCTTGCGCTCTACAGCACACCATGCAACTAATAAGACACAGCGGTCAATGGACGACAATTACCAAAATAGCAACAACGACAAATAGTAAACAAAAAACTTGCCGCACATTAGGGTGGTGTAAGAAATGGTAAAATATGTCATACTTGTGTAACATGTTTGTTTAAATGGGGAACATACATATACAAACATACATATCTATGTAAACACAGGTGGGTCGAATGCACTACAAGTTCGACGCGATCGGTTGGTGTTGCTGCTGTTCAGAGCGAACTTGTTTGAGACTGCCTCTCTGGAAAGTATGCACCTGGTTGCGATGATTTCCATTGCTACAGCGGTGAGTAAAGAAATTATGTTGTTGTAGGGTATAGGTGTGCGTGAGCCCCTAATGGCCTCCCACTGAGCGGAGCGTCAACATTAAAGTACGGAGGAGTGACTTTATTTATAAATTCTCACTCATACACACACATTGCCCGCGATTGCACTTGCTCTGAGGCATAATATGAGAGAGAGAGAGTTGGAGAAAAGTAAATTAACAGTCTGCGAAGGCCATTCTTTGGTCAATGTCAAGGCTTGTAAGTTGGCTTTAGAGTTTACTTACTACTACTACTTATTTACAAATTTTCTTAAAATATTTACGTTTGTGCCACGATGACGATTAATTATGTTGTATATATTTTGAGTTATTCGGTTAACGATTAAAAGACAACAAGTAACACAAGTTAAATTGATCGATTTTTTGAATTTTTCATGTGATTTGGAAACGTAAAATTAAAGACAATCAAATGTATGTATGAAATGATCGTAAGAAGTAATTTTTGCTAAATGATGTGGTCAAATAAATTCAAATAGTCCAAATTCGTAAACTTATTTGAAAAAATTACAAATACCTACTTATATTTATTTCTTACTATTCATCTTGCCTCTTCGGAATTTCACAGTTTTTCCTCTCGCGGAGAAAACCCTTTATAATGACCTAACTCATAATGCAACTGCCAATTATTATAAACCAAATAATTTTCACCAAGATAATCACCGCCAAGATAATTACTCTGCTACTTCAGCTGATCAGTTAATATACTTTTCTTTAGTCTCCTTCCTACACTGTTATATTACTTGATTTTCAAGTTTCTCTAACTCCAAGTATAACTATGCACCAAACCATAGGCCTTGCAGAGATGTTATGCTCTTCTACAAGCAATATTTGCAGACACATACACATACAAACCTATTAGTATGCATGCTCATGTCTACTTTCGTGCGATGATGGTATGCGTGTATATATTTCATGGTCTGCAGAGCGCGCACCGCATCTTTGTTGCTGAGCACCGAAGAAATGGCTTTTTCCCGACATCTTCCGCACAGCATATTTGGACTGATCGTCTCCAGTAAAAGAAGTCTTCTAACTTATATAACAACACATTACCTTGGCAAAAGACTTTAGTTCTACGGCGACCTTACAACGGTCAAGTACGATTTTTGCACACAAACACAACCGTTGCTGTGTGGTACTGTCTTTGAACAGTTATTTTGGGATTGTGAAAAGAGAAAAGGTTGAAAGTTAGAATTTTCATAACCATTTCGATTGGGTGATTGAAGCTTAAGTAATACATAATTTAAACGAGCAGCGTGCGCGTTAGGTCAAAGCAAGTGCCAACAATAAACTTCTTCTCTTTTTTAAAAAATCACAAAACGCGGTAAAGCCTGGATATACTTCTGCTGCTTGAATTTTACTCAAAGTGCGGAGTGTAACTATACATGTAAAGTGTTTCGCAAAGTGGTGCTTTTTTGAAAGGATTAAAGTGAAATTTTACTGCAAAGAAAATTGACTTTAAAATTTATTAATTTATTTTTGGCGATATTTTCGCTTTACATCTAACTTTATTACGCCCCGGGAGCAGTTACAATTAGGTAAGTGCGATATTTTCAGGTGAATTCAACCAGAACTAGCAGAGGGTGCAGTGCGTTGATATTGCGAAAATTAACAGATGTGACACTTGTCGGAATTTAAGCCATTTGCAGCCAATAAAAAGCATAATATAAAATAAAATATAATAGAACTTTACAAAATAAAAGAAAGAAAAATATTATAAATTATAATAAAATAACAAACACAATAAAATAAATTAAATTGGAATAAAGGCAAACAAAATAAAATTAAATAAAAAGCAGGAGAGTTAAATAAAATAAAATTTTAAGAAAAACAAATTAAAATCAAAATAAGTGAAACAAAATTAAAAGTAAGTAAATTTGATACAAGATAGTTTAATTAAATATATAACAAATAAAAAAGAAATAAGTAAAATGGAATAAATTAAATATGGAATAAAATAAAATTAATTAAATATGGAATTAAATAAAGTAAATTAAATATGGAATTAAATAAAATACGTATAAATACAAAAAAAATAAATATAAATGTAAATAAAATAAAACAAATTAAAACATACCTGATCAAAAAATAATTTACTAAAAATAAAAAAACAAAATACAATAAAAAACGAAATAAATTTTAATTAAATTAAACTTAAGAATTTTGTCAAATTACTAGAACAAACATAAGTAGGAAAAAAAATTAAAAAAAAACTAAAAATTATATTAAAAAAATAATAAAGATAAATATAGGATCAAATCAAAACAAAACATAAAATAAAATTGAGCAAATTAAACTATAATCAAACAATTAATATAAACTACAATTTATCAAAAAAAAAATATAATATACTATTGTAATCAAATTACAATTACATAGCTTTAGTCAAATATAAATATAAAACTAAATAAAATAAAACAAATAAAAATAAAAAATAAACTTAAACCTTAAAAAAAATGCCTTAAGTTAAAATAAAATTAATAAAGAAAACTAAGTAAAACAAGTAGTAAACAAAACAAATTTAAAAATAAGAAAATAAAAGTTTAATTAAATTTAATTAGAAAATTATCAAAGTAGCAAGATTAACAACAAAATTAAATAAGATATTCGGCAATAATTCCAAAATTAAAAAAAAAACTTCGAGTTTCTCTTCAATTTGTGACGTGATGTAAATAGAAATAGAAAGGTCTACAGTTTTAGGCTGCTTACGATAGTAAAAGATGTGATCTGAGACGACGAATGCTATTAGAAAAACATGTCCTTATCATTTGAATATTTCGCTGATTGGGAATGGAATCTTCTAACAACTTCAGTATGGCGACCGCCAAGAAACAATATGAGAAAATGCACCTAGTCATAAAAGAAAGAAAAACAATGGAATTCAAGTAATATTTGAGCCTACTTAAAATATAATTTTTAATATTTTAATGGAAATAGATAGGTATATGCCAACAAGTTTTTTCGGCAGAGTTCTCGAGAACTGATTGACCTGTTTATGTATTTAATAGTCTCAACGTAATTCCTATGGACTATACATACATATTTCAGCGCTGATATAAAACTACAAAATAAAAAGCTTAAACCTAGAAAATTCGGTATCATACATGAATTAATAATGTTAAGATTGGGTGGTAGTATACACAAAAGAATAAATAGTATAGATGACAGAATCGAAGAAAGTAATAATATAGAGAATTATTGCAAAGACAGACAATGATGTTGTTCCGGATTAAGGGCGCAATTCATCTGATCAAAATTGTTCCCTGACAGTAGTTCGATTAGCGAGCCGCGAGGTCGTGGGGTCAAAACCCACATTAAATTTTATTTTTGATCTTTCTTGCTTAACAGGAACTCTAGAACTATTGAAAATCTACTCAGAACAGTTTGTTTTTTTTTATTATTTGTTTCAATCATTAATTTTTTTCGACTTCAAAATTGTTTTTTTATTTCGGCGTAGTTTTGCAGAACTTTTTTCCCTTTTTAAGAACTCTACAACTTTTGAAAAGCTGGTGAGGACTTTTTTTATTTTTATGTTGTTAAACATCAAACTTTTTCGATTTTGGTTTTTAATTTTTGCGGCCTAATTTTGGAGAACTTTTTCCATTTTAGGAACTCTAGAACTACTCAAAATAGTTTTTTTTTAACAACAGTTAACAGTTTTTTTCCACTTTTTAGCATTACATTTTTTCGGCGTAATTTTATAGAACTTTGTTTTCCTTTTTTTCAGATATCTATAACTACTGAAAAGCAACTCAGAGCTGCAGCGCACTATGCAAATTTTTTCAATGACTTTGAATATATGAAGTTGACAAATTTCTTTTGTGATCAGCTAGAAAATATTGCCAAAAAAAGCTATATAGACATTTTTGATGGTCAATTTTATTCGAGGTAATAAAAAGAAACAGAAAAATGGATTTTAAATTTATTACATTTTCCAAACTGTGGAATATTCATAAAATCGTATACGAAAAACATTTGAAGGGTCCGACATAGCTCCACCAGAACACCTCTGATGCATGGACTACTAGAAATAATCCAAAAATAGAATTCTTGTCTTCCGAAACTAAAAGTAAACCCTTAATAAGCTCCTTCCCTACAAGAATTGTGTGATGGAAACTAACACATTCTCATTTACCTTACTAACAAATTTACAAACTTTGCGTTGGTTAAAAAGAGACAACTAAATAATTCCATAAGTCGGAGGAAGACGGAACACAAATGTTTACATCAGATTTTTCACACTTCCCTTTAGAATTTGATAGAAACTTGTAGGTAGCCAGTGACAGAAATCTTTCAGTCTTGCCACTCAAATGATTTGTCAAATGATAGTCACTGTTCTTGCAGGGTTTGGTTAGGGGTATTTTTGACCTTTATTCGAAAAAGTTTAGTAATAATGGCACTCAAATGGTTAAAATGTCAAATGGCAATTTTGGTTAAACTTTTGGGAAAGGTGTCAATAAATCCTATGAATGGAAGGGTTAAATTTTGTTACGAAAAAAATTGCTTTCTACGACTCACTACAGGTCTTTGCGGGTAATAAAACCAATCAGCTTATTACTTCTTAATTTGCTCCAAAATATTTGATGTAAAATGGCACATTTAATCAGATGATCTTTCCATCATCTTTGGTTAGCCCTACTAAAATTTCCTGCCTAGCATTTGTCTAAAACGTTTCTAACCCTTAGCTGAAAACCGGTCAACCAAACTTTTCTTCTTCCTACATTTTTGTAAACGCAAAATTTTATTTTACCCAACAAGTTTAACATCATTTTGAAGGGATTCAATTTCATTATTACTTTAACTACTTAGGGAAGGATTCCGCAAGATTTTTATTGAGTTCACGATATTTTTATTAACAATTTTAGTATGACCAATTCGAGGCTGCGATTTTCTTGAACATTTGCATGGCGAACAACTGTTTGCTTTAAGATATGGAAAGAAGTTTGTTATAACGTTCTTCAGACGTAAGTTTTGATAAATGTGATGTATTTTGGAACGAATTTCCGTCATCCCTTGTCAATTTTGGATTGGAGACAAACCGGTTTCGGCGTTCCAAAATACATTATACACCCACCCTGTCGGAAACAACAACAATCAAAAAGGAAAAATTTTGATAAACAAGCATTTTAAAGGAAACTTTGAGATAAATAAATCACTGCATATAATTGAAATATTACCCTGAAAGAGGTAGAATCATAAATTTAAATATATAAACGATAAAAAAGATTAACAGCTCACGCCACTGCATGAAACTACATACTTATGTATGTATGTTACATGAATTACAATTAAACAAGACCACTATACTACTACTATAAAAATTTACTGTCGAAAGTAGCAGCTTTGACGCATACTGAATTGATTTCAAGACGAATTGAATGAAAAATGCATTAAAATTACAAGAAACAAAAAAGTGAAAAGTGAACACATAAGATCGTACTCCTTTAAAGAGAAGAATGGGTTAATGAGCCATAAAATGCGGCCGAACACAGCAGACTAACAGCTGGAAATTGGCAGCAAAGCGTTAGGCTAATCACCTGCTGTTGCTGTTGCTGCTGCATTAGCATCATTCGCTAGTTACAGCTGCTACCATTATGCAAACTCATGCCAGCATGAGTTGCACCAAAAGCGCCCACTGCCTACTGTATGAATGTACAAAACTTAGTGGCATTGATGTTGCCGCCATAACCGCCAGTGGCAAGCTATAGGTTTATGTTTTTGGTTGCAAAAGCAAAAACACAAAAAAATAAATGCAAAAAAGCAATGCAAATTGAGAATTTATTGCCTATAAGACGAATTGAAGTGCTGCCGCTTTTTGAATTCTTCACAGTAAGAAAATAACGTATTAGCAGGAGGGATTTTGCGGTGTAAAAATCAAGGAATGAAAGAACATTTTAAATTTATGTATTTTTTCCAATACTTAAGAGTAGCGTATAGCAAAGGTGAGGAATAGTTGCTACTTGAATTCAGTCGGCCCAGTCTGCAGAAAAAAAAAAACAATAATTTAATTAAAGAACAAGCAAAGATATTTTTATTTTTAATCTCCAAACGCGATTTTTTATAACATTCGCGGCGAAAATAAAAGTGGTCATACGTGAGCTCTTACCACTCGTTTGTTAGAAGAATGTCATAGAGCAAAAACGTATTTTTTAAGTTCAGCTTTTTATATTAAGTAAAAAAAATTTTTATCTTTTTAGTTCTTAATTTGACGTAATATCTGTTTAAACAGTGTTATTGCGCTTTGTACCACTACAAGATTTTGATTTGCTACAATCAAAGTAAAATCTATCCAATAGCACAGCATGACATTGCATGATCGTTTTAACCGGTTTAAGGAGGAAAAAGCCCAATTTTCATAAAGTAGTCTTAGGAACCTTAGCAAAAGATTTGGCTTATGTACTTTTATTTATTTAAGTGTACATGTTAAATAAAATTTCGTTTTAAAAAATTTTTTACGTTATTTTATTTTGAACTTTTTAGTTACCTGCTTTCATAAGGTGCTAGATTTGACTTAAGCAAACAAACATTTTCAGCCGAT